TATATATATATATGTTATATGTATATGTATATATTTGTTTATAAATTGAAAAAAATTGCTATATATACATATATATACATATACACACAGTTGAAGTCAGAATTATTAGGCTTTTAATTTTTTTCTTTTTTAAATATTTGTCAATTTATGTTTAAATGAGCAAGGAAATTTTCACAGTATGTCTGATAACATTTTTTCTCCTGTAGAAAGTCTTATTTGTTATAATTATTTTTTTTCGGCTAGAATAAAAGCAGTTATTAATTTTTCAAACACCATTTTAAGGACAAACAAGTGCTTAGACAGATGTATCTTGAAAAATATCAACTACAATAACATTTACTGTCATCATGGCAAAGATAAAATAAATCATTTATTAGAGATAAGTTATTAAAACTATTATGTTTAGAAATGTCATAAAAAAATCTTCTCTCTGTTAAACTAAAATTGAGGAAAAAAAATAAACAGGGGGGGCTTATAATTCTGACTTCAACTGTATATATATATATATATATATATATATAAATTGAAGTCTATTGAATATGTGTTGGCGTACTTGATGGAGATTATGTATTTACTGTTTTAGATTGACACTTAATAAGAATTACACCATTGGCTGTCATCTTAACACAATAATCAAGCCTTACCTAATTCCTAAATACAGGAATCAGATTCACATTAAACATCAATGACACAAGCAAATTAAAGGCACTATAAAATATTTCTTAACTTAAGTAGGCACAAAAACATTGATCCTAAAGTAAGAAAGCCATTTCATGATATACAAAACTAGATTTTTGGTCATAAAAGAGAATTACATTAGTATTAAAAATTGTGACTGCTAAATATTTTCAGTGCAAGTAAGCCTTGAGGCCATATAATGAAGCTGGATTAGCTGGCTAGCCAGTCAAGTTTTGGTTTAGTTTGCACCATTCTTGGGTTTTAGGTGACATGAAGCCAGCTCGACTTCAATCCCACTTTGTTGTTATGGTATTATGGAGCCGCTGAGCTGATCTACCTATATGGTACCTAAAACCCAGAACTGCTGCAAACTAATTTGAAATTTAACTGGCTAACCAGCTTATCTGGCTTCATGGTACTGAACCCTGGTGAATACATAAATGCATTTTAAAGCATTTGAATAATAGTAAACAAACGGCCTAAAAGCAATAGTTCACCCTCAAATTATTATTTGTTTTTCTTTCTTGTGCTAAATACAAAAGACAATATTGTAAACAAGCTGGAAACCTGTAACCATTGACTTCCATAATATTTGTTTTTCCTACTATGGAAGTCAAGGGTTACAGGTTTTCAGATTTCTTTTTCTTTAGTGTTCAATAGAACAAAGAATCTTATGAAGGTTTGAAACCACTTGAGGATGAGTAAATAGTGAGTGAATTCTCTTTTTTTGTGTGTGAACTAACACTTTAAAGCTGAAGTTAGTAATAGCTGCTTTCATCTGCAAAGGGCAAAGGCAAAACATCATGATTTTATAAAGTGAAAAGCTGCATAGAAATGTCCATAAAATATGTTTGCTCTTCTAAACCAGCTGTGCTTCAGCTCAACACTGCTGCCAGTCATCAAGTGTCAACAGCTGAAACCTGTTGTCTAAAGCACTGTTTGAAGATGCCATTCCTCTGCTTCTGTTGCCCCTCCCTCTTCCTCTATTGCTCCGCCCTCTCCCCTCATAGCCCCTCCCTCTCTGCTGTGTCTGCCTCTGCCCTCCTCCTCTACTTTTGTTGGCTGATGCTGCAGGACCAGTCAATGCCTCCTGCAGGATGGAGAAGAGCTGCGGAGCTACAGGGTCACCTGCAAGCAGAGACTCCGACTGCTGACCCCCTCTTATGGCAGCTTCCAGACCATGCAGCAGAGAACCGCTGAAAACCCTTTGAAAATAAAATAATATAGATGGATAAAAGGTAAAACTATAGTGTATTTACTGTTTATACTTACATATTTTATATAAATACATTTTTTATTACACTGAATTAGTTTTTATTGTCATTTTTCCTCTTTCATGTCAGTGTCTTAAAAATTATATTTAAATAAAAAAATATATTCTAAATTTAGTTCTAGAACAACTTAAAGAAAAAAAAAGGAACATTTCATTTTTGTGTTGAATTTTTTAATAATTTCATAAAACATATTTGTCATACATTTTTTAACCTTTATTTAAAACATTTTAAAATTATTATTGTTGCTACACAAAACTATACATAACATAAACAAAAAGTGGATTTTTAGCAATAGCAATTGTGTCTGTTAGGGTTGTTTCATCCACTCTGGGGTGATTTTGAGTTTTAATTTGACCACAACTTTCTCTGTTTTTCAGCAAATGAAAAATGAATGGAATGATTTTTAATGACAAATCTTATTTTGACAGATTTTTTTTCTTTGAAAATTTAAAACAATGTGCACAGAGTGTATTGTTGAATTGACTACCCATTCATTATGTTAGTGGTTGTTTTATCCCCATTGACTTCCATTATACTGACTTTTTTTTAATCGCAAAGCCTTGACACCGTATAATCATGCATTCTTGATTGTTGCTGTTTTTCCCTGTCAGGATGAGGTAAAATGTTACATTTTTACTGTTGATCATCAGGTGCAGTGCAAAAAAAAGCTTAGTTTCTGCCTTCTATATGGAGTAAAGTGTTTAAGAGAGTGTGTGAGAGGGACATAATCAAAATAAGCAGCTCAGCTCTCACAACATAGTAAGTGTTTTTGCTAATGAAGAACAATAAAAACTACACATTTAACCTCTTCCCAACAGAGAAAACCACCAACAATCAAGAATGTCAGATTGTATAGTCATTGCTTTGCAATCCAAAACTGTCTTTATAATGGAAGTCAAAAACAGCCACGAACTTAACAAAAGGGTGGTCAATTTGAACAGTACACAAGGGTTAAAACAATAAATATAAAACACAGCTTAAATATTTTTTCCATACATTAGAATGAGCAAACAATGACTATCATACATTTGAACCATGATTTACAGAAGACACCCACTAAAATGTTGTTGATCATTTACATACTAAAAACCTTGTCTTGAATATTTAGAATAAGATATATAAAATATATTTTTAAGGTTTATAGGACAGGTCAAATATATTAATTATTTAAATGAAATTTTAAAAAAATCAAATCTTTATATTTTGACACAATCATTCAAAGCACTAGCATTAATTTGGTCAGCAAGAAGTTTAGAAACAAAAAAAGGTACATATTCTTTTTATGTATTACAAGTATAGATCATTATTTTATAAATTTTTTTAGACGCTTGCATTCAATATGCATTCATGCATATAAAATCACTTTTGTAAATGGAATTTGAAATACCTTAAAAACTGTAAAGTTCTCTTCAATATTGTACTCTTTTTTTATGGAAATTTATATATAATTATGCTTTGTTAAAATCATTATA